CTATGAATAAGGGCAAGAGTTGATTGATTCAGTATGTGTAAGGGGGGAAACAATAGACCGTTCTGAGCCTTGGAGGGAATTACAAATTTTGTGTGTAATTCTTATGATTATCACTTAATATGCTGGTAGTCCATTATTTTTCCTCAGTCATGCAAGCCTACAAAGATCTTGGCTTCCATTTCTTAAAGAAACTTTCTTGTGCTTGCTGTTGCAGATGAAAGTTCAATAAAACAACTAGAGAGATCCAAAAAGCAAAGAATTAATTTTTTTTTTAATGGGGGTAGGGGTTAGAATGTATGATTTAAAACTATTTTAATGACTTTCATGATCTGTAGAAATTGAGAGGGATTAGTAATGTAAAAAATCTTGACTGTAAAAAAAAAAATTACATTTTCTCTTTAACCTTTAGCTTGATTTTTGAAATTCATGTAATAATTACTTCTATTTGTAAGCTTTGTCATGTTTTCTGAGTGGAGCTGTTCTTTGCTGTCTCTGTGGGGTAGTTCTGATTGTTCATTTTCATGGTAACTTGGAAGCCTTCAGAGGAGCAGAGAGCCCAGAGCAATTCTGGAGCTTCCTGAATAAGTTTGTAAGAACAGTAGGGATGTGTTAGATCCACTGATCCAGCTGGGAAAGGTCAGAAAAGCTCTCAGTACTAAGAGTTAGGGCTGAAACATTGCTGTGTTTTGGTGTCTTTAGTCTGCCAGCAGTGAGTGATCCTGGGGCATGTGGGGAAGGAGCTGAGGCTTACCTCTAATCCATCTTTTTGCTTCCAAAGAGCAGCAGCCTATTTCCCACAGAGACATGGAAACACCTGAGCTCAGACTCCTCTGAGCAGTGTCTTTCTCTGAAAGCAATTATTCATCAATTCTAGGGTACAAGAGGCATCTCTGCTTGTGCTTCCTACTCATCAGAGGAGGGCTGAAATGTAGGAGCACCTCTTTGATTTACAAAGGGAAGCAGTTCCATGTTAAAAGGGAATCTTTCACATTAAACTGATGAGGAAACCAGGAAACCACAGCCATGCTGAGGCTGACAAAGCAGAGCTTCAAAGGAGACAGCTGGCTCAGCATGTGAGAGCCAGGCAGGGACAGATTAAACTCCAAAGAGGAAGTTCTGTTTTAGTTAAAAAAAAATAAAATAATGTGGTTTTTATCCTGCCTTTAATACTGTGTCTCTTGCGACTGTTGCTGCTGGCTTTCTGGACTAATTAAGTTACTTTTATGTTAACGTACAAAGTGGTTGTTATTTCCCTGCAGAGAACTCGCTGTGAGCACGTCCAGGTGTTGTGGGCTTGTCCTTTATTTTAAACTGGGTCATAAGCCTGAGTTTCCTGCTGTGAAATACCACTGAAATGCTGACTGATTTTGTGAATTCTCAACCTGCACATTAAGTAGGGATTTAAATAACTGTGAATGTCAAACACCTTTTCAATTCTATATTAAAAATGTGTTCTAATTGCTCTTACTCCTCCCATCAGTGTCACCAGCTCCCTGTAGAAGAAGAAGCCCTGTTACAAGAAAATTATTGCTCCAGTGTTAATGTTGTGCCAGCAGAGAGCTCTTGGATTTACAAGCCTATTCTTTTCATGACTAATGTGGATAGTTTGCCATTTTTAAGCATCATTTTACTTGCAGCCTTTAGAGGGTTTTAATACTTTTTCCCTCCCCCCCACAGGAAAACTTGGAGAAAAATGGTTCTCGTGTTCTTGATCTTGAACTGGAGTTTGATGAGCGTGCAGTGCTCATGGAGAACATTGTCTATTTGACAAATTCCCTGGAGGTTGGTACAGATTTGGCATCTACTACTTGGCATTTATTGGGAGAGCTGGAGCAGCAGCTTTCCCTAAGGCTCTAAGCCTCTTTACGTTAACTTCTGGGTGTACAACGTTCAAGCAGCAGCTTTTTATCAGCTTTGTCTCCATTTGTCAGATAGATTCATATGGATCTGTTCAGTGTTGGCATGAGGGGCAGGGGTAGGTGAGCACTGCAAATGTGGTCCCAGAACCCAGGGCTGGTTTTCACTGCAGTACTGGATACAGTGACGTCCACTGGCAGTTTGAGGATGCGTTTTTCTCTGAGCCAATCTGCATCTCACATTTCCAGCTAAGAAATGAGAAGGAGCTGCTTCAAGCAGACCAGTCAGTCCTTGGGCACCTGCACTGGCATGTTGGCACACCAGGCTGTCTTCCCTCTGCAAGGAGCAGGCTCTGGGCAGGGCTTTTCACACTGGGCTGAGTAAAAGGCATCCAGTCTGGTAGCAGCTGTGCTGCTCCATATGATGAGCAGAATTTAGTGTAACAGGAACATGGTAATGAGGGGACAGCTCAGGCACGTGGTGTTAAAAAACCCCAAACAAACAAAACCAAACAACCCCAACACCAAAAGTCAAAATCAAAAGCAACTGTTTTTTAAGAATTAGAAACTGTATATATTGCAGAGCTGGATGTAACCTGTACCATATGAAACAAGTGTGACTTTATTGGGCTTGTCCCATGTCACAGCAAAGCTGAGAGCGAGCAGCAACTTAAACTATCTGTAAATCTTCAAACCCCCTGAGATGGGGGAGGGAGCAGTGTTCCTCAGAACAGGGATACTCTGCTGGGAGCAGCCAGAGGGGCTGGGGGGTCTCTGGGGGTCACTGTCCTTGGAGATGGACTGTGGGGTCTTGGGCACCTCACACAGGGAGTAGATGACCCTCAGAGGTACCTTCCAAACAAGATTTTGTGGGTTCAGTTGTACTTCTGTTGCTTTATGGCGGTGCAGGTTTGCTCTCCCCTTTCCTACCTGAACAGCTGTTTGATGGGGCTGTAACCTCTGCTGTTCCCTCTAAAGCCATTAAAACCCTGCTTATTCCCTCCTTCCCCATTTTTTCTTTTACAGCTGGATCACATTGAGGTAAAGTTTGCTTCTGAAGCAGAAGATAAAATCAAAGAAGACTGCTGTCCTGGAAAACCGTTCTCTATATTCAGAACGGAGGTAATATCAAAAATTCAGATATTGAAAGTCTGAAAACTTAATTAAGAAACTTAACTTGAAACTTTACTTTTGTCTGGGTTTTTTTAAATACACCATTTAAAAATTTTGATCAGACGTGAATGTTTACCATGTATGAGTATTTCTAACTCTGAAAGTAAAAATGTCATTGATTTCCCAAAATATGTTTTAAGCCCTTATTACACTTCGGGCTGCATTTTAGGGCTGGGGCAGTGGTGGCATCCAGCATGGCCAGGCAGGTTCTAAAGGGATTTTATCCCTCTGGAGGATTCATTAACAGCAGATGTTTATTTGGTTTAGTTTCTTGTTTCTCCTGAGGGCTCACATGCACGGGTTCTCCTTTAAGGTCTGTGTTGTTTCTCACAGCCTGGCGTGTCCGTGTATCTGGTGAACCCTCAGCCCTCCAACGGCCACTTCTCCACAAAAATGGACATCAGGCAAGGGGACAACAGGGAGACCATCATCCGGCGCCTGATGAAGATGGACAGGGGGATCAAAGGTAGCCACCAGCACAGGGCTACAGCTGTGCCAGCTGCTGAGGGGGTGCACACGGGTGTGACAGGACGTGGGACACGCCTGTGTGTGCAGGATGTGTGCCAGCTCCCGGGCTGGAGGTTTGGGAATGTGAGATGAAACAGGGACTCCCTCCCTGTCTTCCCAGGAGGTGTCAGTGTGCTGTTGGGCACAGGGATGGAAGGCTGCACTTGCAGGAAGGCTTAGCTGAAGGTCCCAGGCTGCTCGGTCTGCTTAGCAGTCTTATTAGTCTGCCTTTTGATAGGGAATTGTATTGAAATCAACTCTCACCTTCCTCCCAGTCTCTGCAGTTCATTCCTCAGAAAATGAGGAATAAGTTACTCAGACCTGTCCTGAGCCAGATAAAGCAAATTCAGTACTTGGAATGTGGTATTGGGAGCTGGTGTTTCTGTGTGGTTTATCCCCATTTCTGTGGGTAGCTCACTGTGTAACCCCTGAAGGACATTGTTCTATTGGTGCAAACCTTAACACGACAGTTATTCCCTTGAGAACGTATTTGCTTGGAGCAGGTGTGAAGTTCCAAGGGCTCAGCATTGCCGTGGTTAACCCTGTGGGTGCTGTGGCCTGTGTACAGCTGCCATGGCCTGACCCTGACCAGCTGCTCTCTCTGTGCAGATCTCTCTAAAGTGAAGCTGATGAGGTTTGACGATCCCGTGCTTGGGCCCCGCCGTGTTCCAGTCCTTGGCAAAGAGGAAGCAGGGAAAACTCCAATCCTGGAACAAGCCATCTTCCACATTGACCTGGCCCAGAGGCACGTCTGTGTCACTGAGAATGGCCTGACAAGGGACATTGGGGACACAATTGTTTACCTGGTTCATTGAACTGGCCTGTAGCTGGTGAGAAGGTTCATGGAGGGACTTGGAAGCATCTGTATTAAACAAAGGGGAGAATTTGTTCTGTAAAAAAAAAAGCCCACCCAAACCAACCTGAGTTCACTTGTGAGTATCCCTGCTCTTTTAAACAGGGATTTAATAAAAGCATTTTCCTCTGATGTTTTGGCTTCTCTTGAAAGGAGAGTTACCCTGGAGCCCCTTTCTGTCCAGCTGTGGGCAGGGTCTTCAGGAATAAGTTTGAAGGCCATGCTTAGAATTCCACTCCTTCCTCCAGGGAGCTGTGCTGCTCCTCAGCTGCATTCAGCTCCCTCCAGAGCTGATCCAGCCCAAGGCTTTAACTGAAGAGCCTGCTGCTGCTGGCTGGGGAGAGGGGTGGCCCTGGCAGCTGGGAGCTGGTGTGACACGAGGCAACCAGCCCTGTGACAGTGATGTCCCCTGTGCTGCCTCACAGTCCTTCTGACACCTTGGATGTCTGAGGTCTCATCTTTGTTCATTCTCTCCTGGGTACTGCCTCAGGATGCTTTTATTCCATTTCATACCCACAGTCAGGTGAGCCTCTCGCCCAGGTCACCCCCCTCCCTTTGCCATCTGTTCCCAACAGGCAAAACCTGAAATAAGAAAGTGAAAATAAACATGCTTTCATGCAAAAAGTTTTAATGGTGCCACAACAGCTCCCACAGGCTGGTGTCTCACATGGTGGGTGCCAAAGCTTTCCTGAGCCCCGTTTTCCCCAGTGCCCCCCCAGTGCACGAGGGGCTGCAATCCATTTGGCCCCAATTAATTTATTTATCTACAGGCTACAGAGCTAAACATTAGTGCTATAAACTTAGATGAATAAACTTCAGAAAACTTAAAATGTCTTTAAATGTCTTGCTTTTTTTACAGAAATACAAAATAAATAGCTTGAGGATTAATACAAAACAGGAAACTAATATATTCTTGTTTATTGACTTTTCTCCCAAATAGTACCTTAAATTGAAAAAACCTTTTAAAAAATGAACTTCTCTTCATGGAAAAAATATTCAGCATCCCTGAATTTGTACAAGTGTCTCTGAACAATAAACTAAACATATTTTATTTATTCTCCTACCCATCACCAACTAAGCAAAGGTTGTACATCCTACTGTTTCTAAGATATGTATGTAAAAATAGTAATTTATGATTTCTCACTGGAGGTGACCTGGCTGTAATGTTTCATTGGAGCATTCTCTGGGCTGGATGCAGAAAGCAGACAGTGGAACTCCCTGCTTGGTTGTATAAAGGATTAGGGAACTTTTATTGATCCCTTCTGCCTGTGAGATCTATTTTGGCTGTAATTCTGATGCAGATAGATCTTCCCCCTTTGTTACCCTTACAGTCCTGCTCTGCCTGACACTGGGGGTCCCTTGGGTGCTGTTCCCCAGGCACTCTTGGATCCATCAGCGCTTCCCGTTGGGAACACGTTCAAAGGGATCAGCCTGTGGAGCTCCCACGGGCTTCATGGGCAGTTTGGGGTTCTAAACAGTGATCTCATGAATATTTGGAAGTTACTTTTTAAATGGGACAGATACTGAACTTTATGACAGAAAACCTGAAAAGTCTTCAGCTATGATTGCACTTCAAACACACTGTTTCACAAATCAACTGCAGCGACTTTTGGGCAGTGAATAAACCTCCTGAGAATGATAAATGTGTGATTTTTACACAGTCCCAGGCTGCTCTGGTGTTTCCAACTAAAACGTTTTGGAGCCAGTGTTTGCGTTCTTAGTTCTCAGAGGGAGAGAGGGGCTGATGGACTGAGTGCAATTCTGTTCACTTCTGGCTGTGCTGGGGTATGTGGATGTCTCTCAGGGACAGAGCCAGCTGCTTTCTGGTTCAGCTTTTAAAGGATGGCAGGAGTCCTCAGCCCAGAACCAGCACGTCTCCCCTGAGGTATTTAGCTGTCTCTGAGGTGGCACTGCTGAGTTGGACTCACTCTCTGTTTTGCAGCTGCTGCCACCTTTTATACCTGGGCACAGAGCATAATTTCAGCTTGTCGGTGTTTCTGCAGGAGCTGCAATTCTGACAGAGAGCACAAAGAACACAGAGAACAGGTCTGTGCCCCGGAGGTTGCTGTGCCACTGAAAATCGCCGCAGGCAGACCCGGCTTTCCTGCTCCACAAGGGAAGGTCCAGGGGTTGTGGTGTTGTGACTTGTTTTATCCATTCCCTTTGTGTAGTTATAGGAAAAAATGTCCTTCTCTGAGGAGTCTCCATTGAGCAGTGGAGTTCCTCCCCCGGGTTTGTGTGCAGGTAACCGAGGATGGGATTTCAGGGCAGTTTTGGAGGGAGCACAGCTCCTCCTGTCAGGAGAGGGCAGCTGGTGCCTGCAGCAGGGCTGGGAACTGCCGATGGATAAACCAGCAATGGAAACGAAGTATGGAAACCAAAATCTGCCGTGCAGAGGTTTGACAGAGAGCAGGCACAGCTGTGAGCCAGCAGAGCTCTGCTCCTTCCCTGGGATTCACAGGAGAGTGCTTGGACTGGGGCAAGCTGGAAGGCAGAGCTGGTGGTGCTGGGGCAGAGCGGGGTCTGGGGCATGGTGAGCTCTGAGTTCTGCTCTCTGTTACACAGACAGCGTTTCATGCTTCTGAAACCCATGAATCCCACCTAAGATATTTACAACAGCCACGTCTGAGTGGGTGCGTGGTGGGAAGGGGCTGGAAGGAGCTCATGGGCAGGAGGTAGCTGACAGGCGACCAGAGGAAAACAAGCAATGAGAAGGGAGATTCAGTGCCCTCACTGCAGAGCCTGGGTGGCTGCAGTGATGGCAAAGCCCCTTCCATTGGCTCTTTGTCCTCCAAATCGCCTTTTAGGCTTCTGTGTTAAAATTCCTGGGCTAAAACCAATGAGAAAAGCAAGGAAGCAACCACCGTAATGAAAAATCTGAGTGACCCCCTACCCTCAAAGGCAGCGTGAACCATCAGCCAGGAGCTGACCGATTCTGGTTTATGGTTTCTTTACCCTGAGGCAGGCAGGTAATGAGCCAGTGTTTGATCTCCGTGCCGTGCGGGGTGCCCGGGCAGCGGCCGGGGCAGGGCCGGCGCTGCGGACCGGCAGAGCCCGGCGCGCCTCCCCGTGCCCCGCAGCCCCGGGCCGGGTCCCGCACGGTGCCCGCAGCTCTCTGCGAGCCCCGGGCTCGCTGCCCGAGGCGGGAGCAGCGGGGAGGACGCGGGGCTGGGCGCTGCGGGAGCGAGGGAGAGGAGCAGGAGCGGGGAGGAAGGCCGGCGCGGGTTACCCGGTCAGTTCGCTGAGATGCTGCTGTAGCTCTTCTTGATGGGGAAGGTCAGCTGCCCCGAGAGGTCCAGCGACAGCGCCTTGGGGTGCAGCGCCCGGCGCGGGTGCAGGGGGCTGGAGCCCAGGCGCGGCGAGCAGAGCAGCAGCAGCTCGGGGCCCAGGCGCGGCTCGGGCAGGAGCCCCTCGGGCCCGGGCTCTGTCCTGCTGCGGGGCAGCCTCGGCGAGGGCTGCAGGCTGTGCCGCTTGGGCGGCGGCGGGCTGTGGTTCTGGAACCGCACCGTCTTCACTTGCTGCAGCGAGAAGGGGCCGGAGTCAGGCGGGAGCCGCTGACCCTGCCCGCCCTCCCCTGGGCCCTGCAGAACCGGGGAGGGGGCGGCCGGAGCCTGCGGGGCACAGCATGCCCGCAGGGAAGCCCAGGGTGGTGTGCGCTTGGTGGCAGGAGGCAGAGAGCCCCAGGGAGCAGCACAGCAGCGCTGGCAGCTCCCGGACACCAAGGAGAGCTGCTCTGGGAGCGGGAGGCAGCACAGCACCTGCCCTCGCAGAGCCGTGGGCTCTCTCAGCTGATGCTGAGCTGCCTGGGAGCTCTGAGCTTGGCTGGGCTCTTGGGGGCGTGTGGAACGATTTGGGCACCTCTTTGGGTCGTGTGGGAAAGGGAAGCTGTCACAAGGGCAATTTTCAGAATGGTTTTACCTTTATGAAATTTCTCTCTGGCTGCCAGAAGGGAAAGAAATTCCCATTCCAAATGGCTCAGCCCAAGTGACATGAGGGAGATGGAGGAGTTCTGCAAAGCTTTGCCTGACACTAGTTCGGTGGCATTTGCTCCCAGACTCACAGATTCTTGTCCAATTTATGACCTCGGAAAAGTCTCGAGATTTGCTTGTGACTGAGCTCTGTGACAGGGACAGAGCCCCTGCAGCGTCCCGCCTTTCTTCAAGGCTTAATTTGAACTGCTGCATCAGCAGCACCAGTACCCGATTTCCTAAGGCGCGTGTCAATCCCAGCTATTTCTACTGAAAGAAACGGGTGAGGATGGAGCAAAGCCCTCGAGGGATTTGGCCCTGGTTAGTTTTGGCTGCCACTGCTGGTTCCACTGGGATGCTCTGGGGCACGGGCGGTTCTGGCCGTACCTTTTCGGCGCCGTTGCGGGAGGTTTCTGGTTTCACCAGGATGGACGGCGGGGCCGATGCAGGCGGCTTTGGAGCTGCCTCGCTCTTCACCGAGGGGTCTTTGGCGTCCAGGATCACCGAGCTGCACACGGAGGGGCTTCGGCTCTCCCCTCCCCTGACCAGCAGCGCCGGCGAAGCCTCATAGGAGGAGTTTGGCCTCGCTGTCTCGTCCACGCCAGCTCCGGGAGGGATGCTGTGCGGAGGGGAGCTGACGTGCGGGTAAAGCTGGAAGTGCGGAGCTCGCCCCGCAGCCGAGGGACGCCTGAGGGAGCCGGTGATCTGCACGGGGGTCCCTGTCTGTCCTGGCCTCTGCAGGGATCCGTCTGGGGAGCAAGGACCACGGAAAGGCATTTAGTCAGGAATCCAAACCGTGCAGAGTGAGCAGTGCTTCCAGCCCTGCTCGCAGCATGCTGTGGGGCTGCAGCTCCCAGGGACCACCCCGGGCCCGGCCCTGTGCACCGGGACCGATTTCGGGAGTAAAAGCGCTGACAGTGGCCCCTGCCAGGGCACTGCTGCCTCCAGGATGGCTCCCCAAATACTCTTGGAAGTGTATCACAAAACAGTGTGTATGGGATGAGGATAAACCTTGCAGCCTCCTTGTAGAGAATACAACCACCGAGCTCTACACAAAGCTTTACAAGGAATTTTCCCACGCTGAGTCAACCCCCCTGGAATTCCCAAAGCAGCCAGAGTCGGGCCAGGCAGGGCTGAGGGACCATGAAGAGCAGCAGCCGGTGTTCTCTGGGGGAGTGGGTCCCCGAGTCCCTCCCGTGCCCCCCAGACTTACTCCTCCTGGTGCTGCCGCGGCCGCGCCGCAGCGGGGCCGGTGCCAGCGCGCCCCGCCCGGGGCAGGGGACGGGCACGGGCAGCAGCAGCGGCCGCAGCGCCCGGCTCTGCCTCGGGCCGGCCTCGGACAGGCTCCCCTGGGAGGACAGCGACGAGGTGGACAGCGTCCATGAGGTGTACAGGGAAGGCATCTTCGGCTCGGAGAGACTGGATTTCCTGTTGGAAAAGAAGGGCGAGGGCTGCTGGGCGCCGTCCCACCTGGCGAGGGACCCCTGGCCCCGGTCAGTTCTGGGGGGACCCTTGTCAGTACCGGGGGGCCGCCTTGCCATGGGTTCTCTGCGCAAACAAGAAGACCCCAAGTTCCACGTGTGGCCCCCTCCCCTCTCCACGTTTTTGCCTCACGTAGGAAAGCGCAGACCTGAAGAGAGGGGTGACATAGTTGCTGGGGAAGAGGCCGACCCTGCCGGTGACGAGGGACATGCCCCGCAGCCACCCGTCCTGGTCCTTGCCGAAGACGCGGACCCCTTCTCCCTTCTGCAGCTCCAGCTCGTCCGGTCCGTGAGCCGCGTAGGAGTGGAGAGCTACGCACCTGCGGAGAGAGGGTGTGAGGGGCGGCAGAGCTGCCGGGCAGGGCGGCTGGAGCCGCCCGGAGCTCCGGGGTGGAAGCGAGCAGGGCAGGATGCTGCCGGCAGTGCCCGGGGCCGCTCCAGCCAGAGCAGCATCGAGCGGCCGCAGGGAGGAAACGGCTCTGCACCTCCAGTGCTCCATCAGAAACACAGATCAGGGCCTGACAAGTACCTGTCCTAAGGCAAAGCTCTTGAAGGAGCACAGTCGTGGTGCCGTGTTCAAGATAGCATCAGGCAGTTCTGCCTCTGAAACCAGAGGCCTTGGATCTGCCTGCCTGGAGCGTGACCAGGAGGTGTTGGAGGCCCAGGGAAGAGCATCGCTCTTGCCGTGCCCTCCTTCCTCCCTCCCTCCCTCCCTGCCTCCTTCTCCTTGCCTGGAACACAAGGACTGGAGTCACAGCCTCTGCAGCCATGGAGAATGGACAGAGAAGGAGGCAGGAGGAGGTACATGGCTCCATTCCAGGGTAGTGAGGAAATCAGACCAGAAATTAGTCTGAAATCCTCCCTAGACCCTGCTTTTGTGATTCTAGGAATGGGACCAAGGGCTGAAGCTTTATTCTTCTCTCTGACCCATGCATGAGCACACAGCAATACAGCAGCAAAAGAAAATAGTGCATTTTTCAAAAATTTTTCCTACCTGTTCTTTAAAGAACTTGAATTTGTCTCCAGTGTAATACATTTAATTGCACTGTTTTTTTTTTTCAAGGGGAAAGTGATCTGCTCCAAGAATCCATGAGTTACAGCCCATCACTCCAAGCATCTGCAGGTTTGACCTGCTGGGCCAGTGTGTGTGAGGGGCTGCTCCCTCGGGCTCTGGCACAGCCCAGGTGGGCTTGGGGCTCTGCAGCAGCTCAGGCTGCTCAGGAGTCACCTCGAGGGGAGGCTCTGCAGCTGCTGGTCTGACACTGCGTCTGTGCAAACCAGGCAGCTGGTGCGGCGCTCTCTCACCTTCCTTCTGCAAATTATTTTAAGGTCTTGGGAGTTCTCTTGTCCTTTGGATTATTTGTGTGCTGGAGTCTTGGCTGACTGATGATGGTGTGTGTGGGTCCCAACACAGCACCGAGCTGTGGGTGCTGCTCCTGGGCACCAGCATTCCCACAGCCTGGCCCTGCACCAAGGGTGCCGTGTAAACAGCATGTTGTGATGCTGTTGTTATTTTAGATGCTTTATTAAAGTGCCAGGGTGATGAATCTTAACTTGATGTAATCATCATAGAGCGTTATCTGCAAATTTTAACTCTGTGAAAGTTTTCAGCGATTGGTTTGTTCAAAACACTAGTGGCCGTGAAGGTTTCAGGATAAATAACTAGAGGCGCTTAAGGAGTAATTTGTTTCTTTACACTTAAAAAAAAATTAACGTATTGTTGAGGAACAGGCAGAACTGTTTCTCCATAGAAATGCAGTGAGGCACAAAGATGCACTCAGCTGTGGTATCAGGTCTCTGCCACCCCTGCCCTAGACCAGCCAGGTACATTCCTACATGGATCTGCTCGTGGATCCAAGCTGTGCTCTGCTCTGTCTGCACCTGGCAGGAGCAAGCTCGTGGTGAGGCTACAGCAAATTACCCCCGTGCCCAAAGCACCAAAGCCTTACGTACAGGTAAGCTGGCCCATGGTGCTGCAGGTGGGGCAGGGTGACGATGGCTGCCGGGGGCCCCAGTGGTCCTGGTGTGGGGTAGTAAGAGGTGCTGACCTGTGGGAGAAAGGAAGCAAAGAAAAAAAAGTATTAATCTGGCTATCAGCTTCTTTCAGCCACTGGAGGAGCAGCTAACATTTGACTGGCTTCACCCACCCTTCAAAAAACCACCAGAGACACTTCAGGAAACAGAAGAGTCTGGAACATTTGACTTAGAAAAAGGCAGCAAGAGGAAGACTCAGAGTAATGAAATCATTTAGGCTGGAAAAGACCTCCAGGATCATCGGGACCCTGTGACCGATCCCCACCCGGTCCTTTCCACGCTGGCATTCTGCACCTGCAGAGTGGTGCCAGCCACCACAACGTCCCCTCGGGCTCTCACAGGGGCTCCAGGGAGGAGCTGCAGCCATCTCTGCTGCTGAGGGAACTGTGCCTTGAGCTGTGCCAGGTGTCTGCCAGGGCCACAGGGCAACTCCTTGTCCCTGCTGCACCAGGGAGGCCACGCTGGGCTGTCCCCACTCCCTGTCCCTCCTCATGTCCCAGCTGGGCTGGGGATTCTGTCCCCCCGAGGGGTCTCTGAGGTGAGACATGCACTCTTGGGTGTCCTGTGCCGGGGTCTGCTGAGCTTCAGCAACGACCCCTGACCCAGGCCTGCCTGGGGGTCTTCCTGTTCTCCTTCCAAGTTTGGTTTTGTGTCCCTTGTGCTTGCTGGGCTCTGCAGGGTCCCAGCTACCAGACCTGTGGGTGTGTGCCACCTGGGCACACTCTGACCTGTCCCTCTGGCTTCTGCCCTTGCCCCTCTGGCTTGCAGAGCTGCTGGCAGCCCAGCAGCCCTGGGGTGGGAGATGGAGTACGCCGTGCTGCGCTGGGTGTGTGGAGGGAGGGTGGCAGCAGGGGAGGGCTGGGCGGTGGCAGCAGGCAGCCTGGCACCCTCGGGACGCTCTTCTGCCGGGCTGTCCCTTCTCCTGAGCTGTCCCTCCTGTCCCTGCAGCCGGGCCATCCCTCCTGCCACCCGGAGCATCCCCGGGGTGAGCAGCGGCCAGCAGCGCTCCTGCCCGTCCGGAGCAGCGCTGCCGTGCCCTGCCGTGCCCTGAGCAGTGCTGGCAGCAGCGCGGCTCTGCGGGCAGAGCTGCCAGCGGCGGCCCGGGGCGCTGGGGGCAGCGGAATGTCGCTGCGCTTGGATGGGGCTGGCATCCGTGATGCAAGCTGGGGCTTTAATCTCACCTTCATTTCAAATCTAATTTCTAGTGGTCATGTCTGTAATGCGGTGCTGGAGCACTGGCTTGGCAAGGACCTAAGGAAAAAGAAAAGTGACTCACCCACTCTGGTGCTCTCCAGTAAATTAAATTAATTAAAACACCCCAGCAATTCCAGCTTCTGTCTCAGACCTGGAGTAGCAGGTCAGCTTCAAACCTTCTCTACATTCTCGCTTTCTAGTCCAGGCAGGATTGGACCAGGTGTTCATAAAGTTGACTGGAAATTATAATTGTGTTTTATTAATTACCATAATCAAAATGCTTGAAATTTGGCTATTTGGAGTTTCTTTTTTCTGCATTGGAACAAAATGACAGCCTTTTGCTGTTTTTCCTGATGGAAATGTGTTGGAATGTCTCCTTCTGGGGGAAAGCTCCATGTTTTTAATCTCTGTGTTCCCCTGTGCTGGGAGAAGCCATCATTTAGAGCACCCTCAAAGCTGCCTTTGCATTTGCAACATGCAGAGGGGAAAAAACATTGCAAGAAATATTTTCGAGTCACGTATCACTGATTTCAGCATTCACTTTTGCTGATCTCTGGTGAGTACATTGCAAGTCCTTGTAAGCACAAAGGGTTTAATTCCCCGCCTCTCCTGCAATCCCTCTCTCGCCCCATCTCCCTTCCTGGTGTCACCAATGTGTCCCGGCACTGCTGACACAGGCAAGTCCCAGCTGGGAGTGTTCCCGTGCGGAGGAGGGAAGCCCTGCCCATCCCACCATGGGCTCTGGACACCGGGCCCTGCAAGGTCCCATCGCTTATGGCACAGGACAGGCAGCTGTGCTGGGGCAGCTGTGGGGCCTCGGCTCCCCTCAGCGAGTGCAGGGCTCAGCAGAGCCCTGGGTCAGACCCGGCCAGGGCAGGGAGGCAGCCCGGCTGTGCTGGGAAGGGATTCCAGCGGAGACGGAGGGCGTGGGTGCCCCGCTGCCCTCGCCCCACAGCCGCTTGCACAAGAGGCACATGCACAGGCACGGCCACCGCAGCCCTGCAGACTGGTTCTGGCTCGGCTGAGCCCGGCTTGGCAGCCGAGGGGAAGCGGGAGCCGCGGGAGGAGGCTGGGCAGCGCTGGGAATTCCATTTATGGGCCGAGGTGAGTCCGACCTGGAGCTCCTGGTGCTGGCAATGCCAGGCGGGCAGGACCTGGAGCTCCTGGTGCTGGGAATGCCAGTGGGCAGGTCCTGGAGCTCCTGGTGCTCAGTCACTGCAGCCCAAACCCAGAGATGGAGAAGGAAAGCCGCATCCTGTGCAGCCCCAGAGATGGCACGGTCTGCCCTGCAAAGCTCTGGGAGCAGCACTGCTGATTGGAAACAGGAGATTTCCAACCCTTCTCAGGCCAAACAGGTCCCCCTCTCATTTCTGCTCTTGGCAGTAGTTCACACTGAGACTTTTGGGGCTGTGAGACAGGATAAGGTTTCAGTTGAATTATGGAACCCCTGTAGGGTTTTGCCTCCTCTCTGTAACCTGGGATATCACATCCCAGCTCTCTGCAGGCCGTGCCCAGGACAAAGTGCCTGCCAGGTGTTACTGCCTGGACATGCACTACCAGGGCCTGCTCACTACTGGTGACTGCTCTAAAAACGCTTGGAGCAGCCTTCACTATGCAAGATGTCATATGAATGTAAAAAGCCCCTTTTTCTCCCATATCTGTGAAGATTCCGTGCTCAGACCTTTAGTCAGAGCGGGAAGAAGGAATGAGACGACTCTGCCTGGAGCGGATGAATTCCCAAAGGTCGGCCCAGGTCCCCAGCTCAGCCCCAGGTTCAGCGTGCCTCGGGATGACCCCGGGCTTGGGCTGGGCTGCCTTACCTGGAGCGGGGTCCCGCAGGGGAGCTCGTCCTTCTCGCTGCCCTGGGCGGCCACGGTGGGGTTGCTGGAGCTGATGAGCACCGGGGAGCTGATGTGCAGCGCCGGGCGCTCGGCGGGCGCGTGCACCATGCGGTTCAGCGTGTTGAGGGCCGTGGTGATGGAGAACTGCCGCAGGCTCTTCCGCCTGGAGTCGGGCACCTTGGCGAAAGCCGCCGGGTCCGCGGCCTTGGCCTTGGCCGCGCGCAGCGCCGCGCCCTTGGGCGGGGGGGACCAGCGGCCCTTGGTGGCCTGCAGGAGCTGCTGAGCGGGGCTGCTGGGCTGCAAGAGAGCAGGAGACGTGCTGCGGGTCCAGAGGGCTCAGCCTGCCCGGCCCTCGGCCGCCCTGCTCCCCTTTCCCCGGCGGCTGAGCTCGGGCAGGGCTCAGGCGGCCTTACAGGTTATCTGTGAAATCCTGGGGCTCTGTCATTCCTCCCATCTGCTGTCAGTGACAAACTCCGGGTGCAAAATTCCCAATTCAAAGCTGACAGCAAAATTAAAATTGGTTTTACATCTTGTGCTGAGACCTGAGGATGAGTGCTCCCCTGACACACTGCCCGTCCAGAGCTTTGGCTGGCAGGGGTGCCGGGAGAGCTGTACTCAGTAACTCTAACTCCGAGTTGGAAGGGATGTTTGGACTGGTCGGCCTTTCCCCATCTGTGCTGGCACCCGTGGGTGCATCCTGCAGTGAGGGTATGGCACGGGCTCAGAGAGGCCCTCACTGAGGGTGGCATTCCAGCAGGATTACACCCACCCCGTTCCAGCTCCGTCAGCTCGAACATTCCTGGCTCGATGCTGCTTCCAGTGACAAACTCCTGGGCTGCCGAGGGAGAGGCAGGCCCTGGGTCTGCATTCGGGCAGCGTTCACTCAGAACTTCTCGGAAACTGCTGATCAGGGTGTTGGTAGCACAGGGCATGTGGTGACAGCGTTTTTCACCATGATGGGTGCCAGAGGAATTAATCATGATTTACTGCTGACATTAATGAATTGCAAAACTTGAGATTCTCACCCACTCATGGGAGGCAATGTGCTCGATGCCTGGGATGGACAGGGAGACCACGGCAGGAGAGGTACAGGCGGCTCCCAGATGTCAGCATTTTACAACAGGGGTAGTTTTATCATTTACCCTCTCCAAAATAAGGTTTAAAGCCCACAGTGTGTATGTAGGTACACATGTGCCATGGCCATCCTGTAATTTCTGTATGTGAGCAAACTGAAAATGTTTTTCTGCCTATCTAAATCCCAGGAAACATGATAAAATGGGGCACAAACTGCGTGTCAGAGCCAGGAGAGCCTCAAGTCTCCCACAGTAGCCCTACCTTTGCCTTCTTTGGAATTAATTTGTAATTCCTTGGTGGCTGTATGTGTCCCTTAACTAACTTCTGTCTCTCAATGCTAGACTTGAATAAATCATTACTGAAGCTAAAATGATTTCATTAAATGAAAAGATATTAAAAAATATATATTAGAGCTTCAAATAAGATGTTTTGCTTGTGTCCTCCTATAAAACAGCCACAAAGCAGAGCTTGCTGTAATTATAGGCATTACAGGTATTAATTTTATTTCTAGGAACTGGTGCTGGTGCCATATACACCCTACATCTCAAGCTAAACTGCACAACACAATTCATGTTTAGGCCTGTGCTGACAATATTCTGCCAGGGAGGGGTGGCTGGGAGGTCTCTGGAACCGCGGCCCGGCCAGCCGGGGCCACCTGTGTCATTCTCGGGGTGCTCTGTCACCCTGTGTGCCCTTGGGATGCTCTGTCACCCTGTGTCCCTCTCGGGATGCTCTGTCACCCTGTGTCCCTCTCGGGATGCTCTGTCACCTCTGTCCCTCTCGGGATGCTCTGTCACCCTGTGTGCCCCCAGGATGTTCTGTCACCCTGCGTGCCCTCGGGATGCTCTGTCACCTCTGTCCCTCTCGGGATGCTCTGTCACCCTGTGTCCCTCTCGGGATGCTCCATTGCCCTGCGTGCCCTCGGGCCGGCGGAGGGGAGGGAACTGCTGGCAGCAGTGTCTGAGGGGCTGGGGGACCCCCGGCAGCAGAGAGGAGCTGCCGAGGGCCGGGCGGCAGCGCGGTGCCGGTGCCGGTGCCGCGGGCGGTACCTTGGGGATGCTCAGGATGTCCTTGCTCCCCGCCTTGTCCCGGCCCCGCGGCTCCGGGCTGTAGAGCGGGCGCGGCAGGGGCAGGTGCTTGATGACCTGCACGGAGCTGGCCGGGAAAACGCCGCTGATGCCGTTGAGCTCGCCCAGGTACCAGTTCTCGTCCAGCTGCCGCAGCAGCACGATGGTGTCCCCCTTGTTGAAGCGCAGCTCCCCGGGGTTGTGCCCGCGGTAGGTGTACAGCGCCCTGGCTCGTGGCACCTGCAGGGACAAGAAACAGCCCCTGCAGTTCCTCCGACACAGACAGAGTTCCCCAAAAGCATCCGTAACTAATGAGAAAAAAAGGCAGAGGTCTAAGGCTTAAGCATGCATTTATTAGGATTAACTACCCACATCCTTCCTTGATGGGTTTTACTAATGAAGACAAGCTCCCAAATACTTATGCTAAGTTTGTATCAAGATGAAAAGCAGGCTGGACTTGTTTAAGAATATTAAGAAACAGTTAAGGCCCTAAACTAGTCTTCCCATGGGATCTTACTGCCTGCTAAAAGGGCTCCTCCAACACAATCTCTATTTGGATGGCCCAGGTATTTCTATTTCAGAGGGACCGGAGGTCACGGCCATCATCCAGCCGAGCTGGTGGCTGTCACCTGCCATGGAACAGAGCAGGGTGAGTGCGAGTTCTGCTCCCGTGGCTCCATCCCTGCTGTACCAAGTGTGGCTGTGGATTTAATCCCACCTTTTCCCGGGTTCCGGGAAGAGCTGGATTCCTGTTATTGCCCTTGCAGTGTAACGTGGCACAGAAGAGCCACGGCAAGTCCGGGGGAGATGCAGGGACGTTGTGACTGTGCCTGTCACACGGATGGAAGGACCAGGCTCCCCTGGCACAGCCGTGCTGGGGTGCTGAGCCCTGCCTGTCCCTGGGCTCTGCGGGGCTGCTGCCTGCCCACAGCCAGGGCTCCCTGCAGCCCTGCACTTCAGGGAACACCCCAAACCCGAGCTCCATCCTGCCCCTTCGCTGGGGCACAGCTGTCTGAGCTCCACGCTGACAAACCGGGAGCTGGATTGGCCCTGGCTCTCGAGCCCTGGCCAGCCTGAAGCTGAAGTGGCCGTGCCCGGGGACAAGAGACTGCCCCGCTGCTTCCTCACCGACTGCCCCGCTGCTTCCGCACCGTCTCTGCAGCTCTGGATTGTCCCTCTCCTCTCTTTAGAGGCTGCCAGGTGCTGCGGCATGGTGAGGACAGCGCCCTGCAGGTCCTCCAAGCCACAGTCACCCCCTCCCACTCATCTCCCAGGAGACTTCTGTAGAGTGGCACATTCCACATTTCCTGCCTTTCTCTGTGCATTTCCCCAAATCCACCCCTGTCTGTGAGCAGGGCTCAGGCAGGACTCCTGCAGGGCTCCCTCTCTCAGCCACTTTTCAGAGGACAGGAAGGCAGAAGCAAGAAACTCAACATTAGTTTCCAGAAATGCAGAAAATATCAAATTTCCCGTGGAAATAGTTAAGTTTTGGAAGGAGGGCATCTTCCAACATCCCCAAACCCTGATGCCTGGTAGGGAAAAGGAACCAAGAAGAGAAAAATTTCATGTACTGCTTTTACTTCAAAGTCTTCGAAATGGGAGGCAATTAGTTTAATGTTTATTTCTAATTAAGTCATTCTCTCTCTTAATTTGTGCTCAGAGTAAACACATGTGCTTGGCTCAGCGACACTGACACCACATTGCTGGGAGAAGGGAAATGGGGAAGGGGGCTTGGGCCAGTGCTGCTCTCCATCAGAACACCAGGGACCACACCTGTGGGGCCATGGAGAGTCCCTGCAAACACACACCTGGACAGGTGAGCTTTGCCATGAGCAAAACAGACTGGGGACAGCAGCTCTCCTTCAGAACCACGCTGGGACCGCTGGCATGAGGAGCACAGAGCTGGCACTGCCTCAGGAGCAGCCAGAAAACAAATGGGACTTTCACAAAGGGTGAGAACAGGGCTTGGGAAGGAGGAGCAGCAACGTCTGGGATGTGAGGGAACAGCAGGATGCAGCAAAACATTAAAGGCGGCATGAACGAGTTATGGAAATATATTAAAAAGAAGAGAAACTCTGAAATGAAATGCATACCTGGTGCTAACTGGGAACAGGGAGCAAGCAACAGAGTGCTGAGAGTCTGGAATATTCTTTCTTCAGCAGGCAGAGGGATGAGACAGCAGGGCAGGCTGGGATAAATACCCAAAAACCAGGTGGGCAGGCGAGTTTGTGAACACATCCCTCAGCTTGCATGCCCGGATGGTTGGATGAATGGGCTCTTTCTTCCTCTAACCACACTCACAACCTTCAGCTCTTCCCCTTCTTTTTAACCCTTTCCTCACACTTTTCTGCCCTTTCAAATCTCCCAACCCAAGTCAGCTTTTTCCAAAGCCCATAGGTTTTGATATTTTCAATTTTTTAAAATAAATTCTGTTTGGCTGCTCAGATACTGAGCCAAAAATATCCCATAGGTTTCTCAACTTTATTTAGAACACAAACTAAGCCTTTACCTACCCACAGGGAGCAACTAATGTGCCCTGTCACAAAATAAAGCTGCAAGCTGGAGATTTCAGCAGGACAGGCAGAGTCCCTGTTTTGTAGGGAGTTTTTGGGGTGTAGGAAGGGACAGCTGGCCCAGTGACAGTGACAGGCACGGCACGGTGCTGGAGTGGCAGGCTCGGTGCTGGGCTGAGGGCCAGCAGAGCCCCTGGGTGCACACCAGGGACCAGCATCTCCCCACTGTGGCTGCAGCTCGGAGCTGAGCTGAGCCCGCCTCAGCTCAGGTGCTTTCTGCCCACTCCTGCCTGTCCCAGATCCTCTGCAAGGGATCTGTTTTGCTTTATTTAAAGTAGGTTAATTGCAAAGGCAGAACCCGGGGTGCTAATTAAGCTGAGATAAAGGCGAGGAGTGCCTGGAGGTGGCTGAGGGCAGCCGGAGGCTCTCCCGGGCCAGAGCGTGGCCCTGGCAGGGGGAGGAGGACCTGCTCTGTTCAGTGGAGTCTTCTCCCGTTAGCGTGTCCAGCTGCTTTCGTCAGTCCAAAGCAGCATTTCAGTTTAGCAGGGCAGCAAATTGGATTGCACACAGGGTCTGGTCCCTCGAGCACTCTTGGCATCTATGTGAGCACAGAAAACACTGGGAGCAGCTCTGTGGAAAGCTCAGCTGAAGGCTGCTGGAAGTTTGGTACAGTTTGGCTGCTCAGCAGCAGAGAGAGTGAAACTACAGCAAAGAGACCCATTTTGGGGGTTACTTTTTTCAATGCCGCCTCATTTTCCTGATTTTGCCCTCTGTTTTCTCCTCCGTCATGCCTGAGTGAGACCCAGGAGCTCTCAGAGCTCTCAGAGTGGCTGAGCCCCGGGTGCCCCTTGCCTTGGGCTGCCTGGAGAGAGCATGGGGGGGCCCTGGAGAGAAGGCAGCAGGTAACACCAGGTAGCACCAGGTAACACCAGGTTAACACCAGGTAACACCAGGTTAACACCAGGTTAACACCAGGTAACACCAGGTTAACACCAGGTAGCACCAGGTAACACCAGGTTAGCAGGAGCAGAACCCCCTTGCATCAGCACCATCTCTGGGGAAGATGCTTTTCTCTCCTTGGCCACTCTGCCAGCAGGGATGGTCATGGCAGATGTACTTCAACTGTTTGTCCCCATTCTCAGTGGATTTGAGGCCAATAAGGGAGAAAAGATTTTATTTTTTCACTATTTTTGGCATTTGGCATCAGTTGTGTTGGGCAGCCATCCAATGCCTTTGAGTCTCCCTCTGCACAAAACAAAGATTAAAAATACATATATGTGTGTGAGGAAGCAGTGTGGGGCATCTCTCCCTAGCAGAGAAATGCTCTCTGTGGTTATTTAAAAGAGCAGGTTATAACTCCTCATGAACCACCCCAGAGCATGGGAATGCACAAACAGAGAAGGGAAAGCAGCGTGCGGCTCTGGCTGGGGAGGGGATCACTGGCAGCAAAGCCAGGAGCACAGGCAAGAGGAGAGGCTGCTGATGGCAGCTGGGAATGCCCCCACACCGTGTCCCAGGCAGCTCCCTTTGGAACCAGCCGAAGGAGCAGGGTGCCAGCAGCAGCTGCAGCCGGGATCCCCCAGCAGCGTGGGGCCAGGAGCGTGGCTGGGCTGGAGCCACTGACCCCTGTCCCCTCGGGGACACCGCTGGGGACACCGCTGGGACCCCCCGAGCCCCTGCTCCGAGTCACCAGCACCGCCGGGGAGGCAGGGCTGGGACGGGCACCAGGGATCCCAGGGACAGCTCCTTGCTCTGCTGTCCAGGGCTGCTTCCTCCTGAGTCACTGCCCCTGCCTGACGTGGGAGCTGCCCCCTGACCTGGGCAGGTGTCCTGCCGACCCCAGCAGAGGGATGATGGATCAGGAACGGCCTCAGATGGGCTTGCACTGGTGTTTTCCCAGCTGGGACTGTCCTAACCCATGCAGGGAATGCCCTGGAGCAGCTTCCCCCTGCGCCTGTCCTGCTGAATGTCTCTGCAGTAAATCCAAGGGACTGATCCCAGCCTGGGATCAGTCTGGGAGCTGCCCCAGAGGGAGGATGTGAGTCTCTGGGCAGTGTGGATGTCTCTCCCTGAGGCTCTGGGAAGTGTGGATGTCTCCCCCTGGGGCTGTGGGCAGTGTGGATGTCTTTCCCTGGGGCTCTGGGCAGTGTGGATGTCTCCCCTGAGGCTCTGGGCAGTGTGGATGTCTCTCCCTGAGGCTCTGGGCAGTGTGGATGTCTCTCCCTGAGGCTCTGGGCAGTGTGGATGTCTCTCCCTGAGGCTCTGGGCAGTGTGGATGTCTCCCCTCAGGCTCTGGGCAGTGTGGATGTCTCCCCGTGGGGCAGCCAGTGACTCCAGGACAGACCTGAGGGCACAGCCCGTGCTCCTGAGAGCTGTGACTGACACAGAGAACATGGAGCGGGGTGTTATCCACCACTGGCACAGAAGGACTTCAAACACTGGCTTTTTGTAGAGATGATCAATAACATCTTCATCCCTTCTGATTCCTGAGACCTGCCTCCAACATCCTGCCCCCACTGCCCATGTCTCCATGGCATTAATGAGCTCCATCACCTACTTGTGTGCTCAGCTAGCACAGTTCAGGGCTCTGCAGGATCCAGGTGGATGAAAAGAGCTATTTGAATGCAAATTAATTGCCATTACAATTCTGTTTTTCTGCATTTCAGCAAAGGAGATAACTTCAGCCTTGTCACAGAGAACAAAACCTTCAAAAGTGAACTTGTCATT